TCGACATTCACATTACGATAATTAAAAAATATCCTTTCGACAAAAGCAACTTTACTTAAATCCACTAAAAGCTCGAGAAAATAGAAATCAAACAAGACAGGAAACCTGTTTCACTCTTAATTACAATCTTCCCTTTTGAGCCTTTAATTCTGGATGAATTATTTTCTTCGTTAATAAATTGAAAGTATAAAATCAACAGATATAACTTTATTCAATCCCTTCACGATTCTTGAGATAAAAAAAACTTCTTTCGAATTTGTTACATATTCTATTCTGTACAATTCCAATTGTTTATTTTATTTTCGATTGGTTATATTCTCTTCTTGAAATATAATATTAATCTTTCCACTTCACGATCGATGAAATTAAAAATTTTATTTCTTTTACTAAATAGAATCTCGACCAAGACTTTCGTATGGACTCACATTTTCCAGATATTGCAGAATTATTTTTCTATCGTCGAAAATCCCAATCCAGCAATGACAAAACGAATGCAATTCGCGGATCTCTTTGTACATCTCGATTTACAACGTTTACAATATTTTATATTATAATTTTTTCCAAACAAGACCAAAGAATTTAATCCACGTTTAAATATTAAACAGACAAAACTACTCTCTACCTCTCGAGGGAAGTTAAAAGGATGACGAGGAAAAGGGTCGCCCCCAGTAAGAAGCAAGATTTTTCACGACGTTACACTTCCCTCCGCTTCCATACAGCTGCGGTTTCCATCGTGGCGGAAAGTCGAAACGACCCCATCGAGCCATTTTCCATCGAGCCAACGCAACCCTCCAGGCGCTCGCAACCCTTTTTCGCCTCTTTTTCTTTTTTTTTATCCCTCTCTTCCCTCTGTGTTATCATCTGGTCGCATACGTGCTCGAGTTTCTCTCCGGTTAATCGACTAACCCCATGAAAAGGAGCAAGTGCAAGATAATTTTATAAAAACTGTCTGATATTGCAATTTATGCATATCAAACAAACATTTCTTTCCAAATGTTTATCTTCAGTTTATCTTCTTAGTACACGATAATTCTTCACAAACAGAGATATATTTATTATTTAATATAAAGATGTACGTACGATTCGTAGCAAAATTTTTCTTTCTCTTCTCGTTGTAATATTTACAATAATTAAAAATTCTGGAAAGAAAATTTGAAACGTAAACTATACTTCGTGGTGAATACACGAAAAGTGAGTTCTTAAAATCGTGGATATTCGTTCCTGAAGAGGTGGAAGGGGGACGGTAATGACGATGAACGAGCGCATCGCGCGCTTTTACTTTACCCCGGCCATCAAAAACGCTTCGAGGACGAAATGCGTTTCTTATTATGGATCATTATACGGTTGTTATGCCGGTGGAGGAGGGTCGTGAAAACGGTGATTTATTTTTCGATGCCAACAGAGGGAGAACAGCCGTCTCCACGAATACAAATGATTTCGAGGAAACGAGAATCTTCCCTTACTGCTTGCTTTTTCGAAGAATCTTCCCTTATAATTATCCATCCGTGAGTTTTCTGCGCGATTTTTTTCGATTTGATAGTTAAAACTTGTCCCTCGATCAAGATTCGAGATGTCGTTTTTAAAAAGGATCCTCCAAACTTGGTTACTCGAGTTTATTTATAATAGCGACTGGATCAAAATGATCGATCGTTTAATATAAATTTCTCCTCGACAAGCGTGCAACCTCGATTAATAATATATCTTCATGATTGTTGTAAATTGTTATAAATTTAAAGATTTAAATTTATCATAAAATATAAAAATTCCACAAATTTAATCCCGAAACCTATTCAATTTCGTCAGAATCTTCCTCCATATCTTATCCCAATCCCCGTTTCCTCCAAGTCCAATCCTCCAACTCAAGTTTCCTGTTTATCCAAACATTTGGCAAACATTCTCTCCGTTCTTGCGACCCCTTTGAATCCTCGGCTGTGTTACGGCCAGCCGTTAGACGAGGTTTACGGCGGGGAAATTGCTATTTTCGAGACTTAGATTTTAGATGCCAACATTCGGCAACGATACTCGACTCAATGTTCATTCTCGCGCTTAGACAACCAGACTCACTGTCCCTCACCGGGGATTCGACTCATCCTTGATTTATTCTGGCACAAACCTCATCAAGGATTACGCGACCCAATAATCCAATAATCTCCGCTGCCAATTCGAACCAAAACTTTGTTAAATTTTTCCACGAATTTATGACGAAACTCTCCTCCATCCCTCTCTATAATATCATAACTCTTCCAAAATTAACGAAGGAAAAAACGAAGAACTTCGCGAGCAAAAAAGACTCGAATCGTTCTCGAGTCTTCCCTTAACCGGAGAATAATCCTTCGAATAAATTACATCGAGTTCCAAAATCAACGATATTCGCAAAAATCTAACAATCGTTTCCCCCAAACTCTTTCCTTTCACGATCCTCGAGAAAATCGGATTACCGATATCTGTGTGTTTCGAGTCACTCTGGATGACAAATCGTTTCGACAAATCGAATTTCGAGAGAGAGGGAGAGAGAGAGAACGTAATCGCCAACAACGAACGGGGCTCGAAAG